ACACACTTTTGTCGTCCAAATTCATTTGAAATTGGGTCACGATGAGCTTTCCAAAACACGACATGCGAATGTAAACACTGATTTTCCCTATTACAGTGCTGGCGTTTGATGGATCGCTGATATTGAAAACGTCTTTCAGTGTTTCGGCTGTGGGAGAGCTGCCATCAGATAATTCGACGCTGCTGATCAACTCATTGAATAAATTGGATACGGATATAACAGATGCACCTGAAAACGTTTGTTCAGTTATACCGGGTGCGTCTCAAAAGTGGCGTACCCCCTATAACTTTTTTATTTTTTCCGATAAAAAAACGAGATTTGGTATGTTAGTATATGACATAAATTAGGATTGATTGATGTTTTCAATTGTTTTCCGTCACTTCCTGTTTCACCGGAAATGACTACAACTTTTGATTTTTAAATTGCACCCTCCGTATTTTTTTACTTTATTCGATAAAAAATGACTTTCTGAGTCGAATGACATATCAAGCTGCCGTCAGCTTTTGACATATTCACTCAAAAACAAATTGCATTTTAAATTTCAATCTAGAGTGCCACGGTTGTGTTAAAAACACTAATTTTTAATCAAGGAGCCTTGGAAAAATAGATTTGATAGTCTAATGTTTTTAGTGTCTTGTCCTGGCCGGTTAAAAGATGCCCATATCGTATTTTTAATCATATCTCAATTTTTTCAAATGGAACGAGGGTGGCTCATTAACATATTTGCGGAAAAAGAATGTTTTTATGAGTAATTTGGTACCACACACTTGGTAATTCGAGTCAAATTGTCGTTATGAACCGCATGTTACAATTTCAAATAAATCATATGTAAAAATGTCAAAAATTGACATATGATATGTCATTCAATTCAGAGGGTCATTTTCTATCGAATAAAGTAGAAATATACCGAGGATGGCATTTTAAAAATCAAAAGTTGTAGTCATTTCCTGGTCCCATTTTTGGTATTTCAAGGCAAATTGTCGTTATGAACAGAATGTTATAATTTCAAATAAACCATATGAGAAAATGTCAAAAGTTGATATATGATATGTCTATTCTCAGAGTGTCATTTTCTATCGAATAAAGTAAAAAAATATGGATGGTGCCATTTAAAAATCAAAAGTTGTAATTATTTCCGGTGAAACCGGAAGTGACCGAAAACAATTGAATATGTCAATCAATCCTAATTTATGTCATATACTAACACACCAAATCTCGTTTTTTATCTGAAAAAATAAAAAAGTTATAGGGGTGAGCCACTTTCGAGACGCACCCGGTATAATTATTTTTATTCCAGTGATAATATACAGGGTAGCGTCTCTCGTAACACCTACCGAAAAATAGATTAGAAAAAGTTTTTTCGAAAACGTAAGATATTTGACATATCGCAAAATGAAACGCAATTTTAATTTAAATAATACGAGAGTTGTCTTTTATATTTTGCATATAGAAACATAGTAGGCGGTAAACATAGTAACATTGTCAACATATATCAAATGTCAAAATTAACTGTCATCTTTAGTTAACTTAAACACCAAATTTTAGACCGCTTCGTTTAAAGCTGTATAACTGAATTTTTCAAGTTGAGTCAGTCGAAAAATGAAATTAAGCCGAGAAAAATTTCGCGCGATAGTGTTTTACAATTTTCGAGGACACTTGTCTCAACAAGAATGCATTGCCGAATTGGTTTCCGTTTTCGGTAATGAACCACCACATCAATCGACAATTTTTCGTTGGTATGGAGAATTTAACGCGGACAGATTACTCTTAGCGACGAGCCCAGAACAGATCCACCAACGACGGCAGTTACCCAGGAAAATGTCGATGCTGTACGTAAGCTGATCGACAAGATCGACATGTCACATATCGTAAAATTGAAGCATCATTGGGCATTTCTTCAATTCAAAAAATCTGTTGATGGAAGAACAGAAAGTAATTAGAGTCAATTGGGGTCAAAAAACTCTACACCGGTTTAACGCAGAAAAAAAATATTACAGTACTGTCAGTGGTGACAAATCATGGATTTACTCTTATGAACCCGAAAATAGACGTAAATCGGCTGTTTGGGTCTTCCGAGATGAACCAAAGCCGACGAAAGTTATCCGTGCTCGAAGTGTTTCCAAAAAGATGGTGGCGACATTAAATTTGTCTCAAAAGCGGGTCATGAAGCAACAATTCCTGTGCAAAATCAAAAAACTGTTATTGCTGATTAGTGATTGGTACATATCAATTTGTTTGCCGTAAGTAATTGCTGAGTTTCGAAAATTCAACCCTCAACGACGAATGATCCTCTATTAAGACAATCCAAGTTCCCACACAGCTTAAAAAAAATTTAGTTTTTAAAGCAACAAAGCATCCAATCGTTGGACCATCCTCCATATAGTACCGATCTAAGTCCTATAAACATATTGATAATCTTTACTTTTCGAAAAATTAGAATAAACTAAATCAGAGGTTCCAGTCCCAGAATGCAGTCAGCGCCCTCAAAAACGCAATTTTGACGGTACTAACAAGCGTGGAATAACTGCTTTCAGAATTGGTTGCAACGGATACAAAAATGCCTTTTTCTTCGTGGATAATATTTCCAAAAGAATACTGTAGTGTTTAAAAGCTATCTACTGTTTTTAGGGTTCCGTACCCAGAGGGTAAAAACGGGAACCCTATCTATTACTAAGACTTCGCTGTATGTCCATCCGTCTGTCACAAAGGTCTATCTTATGAACCGTTATAGCTAGACAGTTGAAATTTTATTTACAGATAATGTATCTATGTTGCCGCTATAAGAACAAATACTAAAAACAGAATTAAATAAATGTTTATAAATAAAAAAGTACTTTCACTGAACATTATTTTACAAGTATGAATTTTACATAGAATCTTCCAAGTCCTCGGTGCTCGGTGGCCGCATGGCTACAACGTTTGGACTTTACGCTGCTATGACGTTGGAGCCGGAGTAATGCATGTTCGAATCCTAGCCAAGACGAATTTTTTTAATCGTTTTTTTTTTAATTTTCACATATTTTTACATATTTATTATTAATACAATTTTTAGTAATGTGTTTCTTCATTTTTTTTTAAATTACTTATACGCGCATTCAAAATTTCAGCTAAATCGGAAAAAAAGTTTATAATAATATACTGCTTAATGTTGTATAGATAATGGAACCTTTCGTGCGACTCGCACTTGACCAATTTTTTTCTACACCTATATGCAAAATAAAAAAATAACCCTCGTAAGTGACAATATTAAGCGTATATTTATCATTTAAATAAAGCTTGTAGAATACAAAATTAAGGTTAGTTTAGTGTGATGTTATTACTACAATTACTATAAACTCTCTTTTACCAAAGGAGGGTTTGTTGAAACAGTAAATAGTAGTAGATGAGTTATGTTTGATTGTTGAAATGTTTACTCTTAGTTTATTTTCAAATTATTTTCATTTGGCAGCGTTGTCTTCGGCAATATTGTAGATTTTAATCATGCTTGTTTCTTGTTTAACTTAATTTTCTTACTTGTAAAAAACTATTTAGAATTACATTTATAGTTATTACAATACTGAAGACTATATATTATTATTTATAATATTGCAATAATTACATTTGACTTTCACAAAAATCAAGAAAACGTACAGGAAGAGTGAAAACTACCCCCAAGCCTACACAAATTTTAGTATAAATATTTTCCAACTCCACCGACGATAGATTTTCTTTTTGTAAAATGGTCCCTCTAGTATTTACTACATTTTTTGTTTCTTGTAAAAGAACGCAATATCGCATAGTTTTTGAAAAATAAATTTTTGGGGAATTTATTTTTCCAAAGCAGAGCTACAAAATATACAGGGAGTTCCAATATTCTGTGGACATAGAATAACTACACATACTTTGAAGCAAAATAAGTTAATTGTACATAATTTATTTTTATACAAAATTGCTTCGTTTGTCCGTTAGAGGGCATCACTCAAAAATAAACCCGAACGTTAATTAATTTAAAATGTATTATTTTTAAGGACAATTTTCCGAAAAAAAAAATCGGTCGTTGGTTGATTTGGAAAATATTGATACTAAAATTTATGCAGGGGTGGGGGTAGTGTTCACCCTTCCCGTACTTTTCCTCGATTTTTGTGAAACTCAAATAAATGTTAAAGTACTTAACAAAACATAGACATCCAAAATCTCATTCAAATCGGAATAACGGTTCTTAAAATATTTTTGAAAAAATGTGCTTATTTTTTTAAAGTTTGGTGTCCTTTAACGGACAAACAAAGCATTTTTGTATAGAATTAAATTGTGTCCAATGAACTAATTTTGATTCCAAAAATACGTAGTAGTTCTATGTCCACGGAATATTGGGACACCCTGTATAATAAAAGAATAAACATTTTTATCAGAATATCTTTCACTAAAGCTACATTTAAAATTACTTAACATACTATTTATTTAAATATTATCTATGTAGAAAGTGCCTTTAGTAAAATTCTATTAAAAAAGTTCAAGAGTTGCAAGAATTTAGTGCAAAAACAAGGGAACAAGACCAAGACTCCCCTTGTCCATTGGCTCATCACTAATCCGAGCTTTGCCAGAATCTTTCAGGATGCGGAACACCAAATAATAACCAACACACAAAAAATAAGAGAATCAAATACATATGTAAAATAGATACGATAAATACCTATTTCGACAGTCTCTGGCAACCATCCCGGTTGCATTTTTCTCATTACCGACACAGCTATGTCGAATTGCTCTGTAGCTGCCGTCGCTTGTTCTGGACTGAGCGAAAACAAGCAACTTTTCCCGCTCTTCACCGATCCTCTATCGTTTTTAATGCTTCTTTTCGGGTTGAAGTCCGCCTCGCACACGTCCAAAGGCGCGTTATCCAGAAACTGGAAAGAGACGCATGTCTCTCCAGGGGGAGCTTCGCAGTCGCATTTGGGATCCAAAGTAACGCTGTCCACTAGAAACTCCAACAGAAACAGATTCTCGGTGGCAATTTTCTCCATAACGGTGAATTTTTATGCGAAACTGATTATTACAAACACATAACAAAATTTAGAATGAAACGTTTACGTTAAAAACGAGAAATTTTGCCATTTATTTCGGACTTTTGACGCATGTCAAATACGTTATAGATATACAGGTAAAGTTAGATTTATTATGAGAATCTTTTCGGTCGAAACTTTATATCTGGTGGAGGATAGTGGGTGTAATAAAAATTGCATGCTTCATTTCGAAATGGTTGGCCTACCCTAAAATATATAAAAAATATAAATTACAAATTATACACAATAGTACCTACGTATAACTTCTAGGCTGCGCTTCTTGCTGATCCCATTTGATCATGATTGCCTGTTTTTGAGGAAAATTTTGGGGTAGTTCTGATTTTTATTTTGTTCATTATGTTTTTTGGGGTGCTGAATGTTTTGGTTTTTTTTGAGGTGCTGAATACATAAAAAAAACATAAAAAATGCAATTTTTGCGTTTGTTTTGCTTATAACCCGAAAAATGTGATTTTTTTTCAGAAATAATAACTCCATACAAAATAAGAGTAAACAAAAAGTTATAGACAAAAAAGTGCAAGAAACCTAATTTTTTTCGTCACGAATTTTTTTTAGCAAACATTATTCACCAATTTTTGTTAGCAAACAGATTCGAATTCAGCACTCCGAAAAACATTACAAACAGAAGAAATCAGAACTACCCCAAAACTTTCCTCCAAAAGGCATTTTTGAGTATGTGACCAGACTATAACAGTTTATTTGATATTAACTATATTTCCGCTTGTGTACTAAATCAATATTAGCTTTTTCCTAACCATTTTGAATTTCAAGAGAAACCCTTCACGAAAAGTGCGAACAAGGCAAATAAATATCCCAACCAGACGGGATCTGTTTACATTTGCAAGTCGTAAATGTATGCACTCGCTTACCAACCCGCAGCTACTGTAAGAATGCTGTAAGACCTTGCATTTGCAGTAAGAATAAGTAGTTTGGATCGGTCGCACAAAAGATTCTACACAATTCGCACGTTGACGCTTCCACTGTGCGGCAAGCCTCATTTTTAATCATTTTCACTAACCAATGATTAAAAGTCTTCATGCAAAGAATCGCGCAAAGCATCACTAGCTGTGCGAATATGAACGTGCACTAAGAAAAAATTAGCTGTAATTATTAATTTTTTCTAAAATGGATATAATCTGAACGAAAACCAGCTTTCTCTAACCTACAAAAAGCACAAACACAGCGTTTCAGGGGATATATCTGCCCTCATCGTCAGATGATAGCGTTTTCGCGCCACTTTTCATCCGTAAATTTTTTACTCCACCCGTCAACGGAGAAAGATCGTACGATAACGGACGTTTTGACACTTTTTTGACAAATTTAATCTAACCTTAATAAAAATATAATATTACCAGAGCTAGCAAGAGAATTTTAAGAAATCTGGTTCTTTAATATATCTTTTACTCTCTCCTGACCAAAGTGCGGGCCGTTTGGCTGCCGGTAGACGGTAGACTACTGCGGTTCACTACAGCGCATCACATCTGTACAGGGTATTTGTTTTTCGTGTGTTTTATAGGATTTCTCGTTTATGAGTAGAGATACAATGATGCGATTTTCACATTACTTTGCTACTTTTTTATGAAACAAAATATGCTACACACAGGTTTGTCCTAGCATCCTTAGTTCCTAAAATACAGGGCAAATTTGTGATATGCGCAGTAGTGAACAGATGTTGAATACAGATATGATGCGCAGTAGTGAACGCAACATCTACCGGTAGCAAGACGGTCCGCACCTTGTTCAGGAGAGCATAGCAAAAGATATATTAAAGAACCAACTTTCTTAAAATTCTCTCTCGAAAACGTTTCTAGCTCTTAGACTATAAATAAAACAGTCAAAATCGTTATGGAAATAAAGATATAAAATGACACCGATCACAAGCAAATCGTACATCCATTGAACAGAGGCATGAACATGCAATAAATCTAAAAACTGCGTAATGTTCTAACCAATCGAAGTCTTTAAATTCAACCAATAAAATTAATATCGTATCATCGTATCTTCGGACAACGGACGAATGAAAAAAAATCAAGCTTTATTCATCTCTCTGAAGTTACGACCGAGAAAAATTGTAGATTTTTCTTGATTTAGAGCAACTTCAGAGAGTAGTTTTTAAGTAAGAACAATCTTCGGATTGTCACGGGGTTAACACCTCAGTAGATTGAAGCTAAGAAACAACGGCGAATGCAAATCTGTGGGGAAAATGGGGAAACACCTCATCACTGAATGCGTCGAGACCATATCCATTCGTGCCATAAAATTTGGTACGACTAATATCTGAGATGGAGAACTAACCTCTGTAAAACCGTCTTAGATTCTGGCTTTTGTCATAGAACTAAGATTGTACGATGAGTTTCTAACTAAAGAAAGGGGGACACACTAGATCTATAAGGTCGCGGTGATTAACTTTCCCCTCCCATACAATCTACAATATATATCGTCGTAATGTGTTCACTTTATTAAATATAATTTAATCTTACACATGCATATCAAACTTCCTCCTACAAGGATCATCGACCACTACTGCTGTTAGGCAAGGTTCTTCTGCCCATCTGCCACTAAATGGTTTCGAATCATCCTCGTTTTTCGGCTCCTCGTTAAGGTCTTCTTTATACTTCTTAGCAACGTTATTGCCGCTCCACCAAAACGGCTTATCGTGTTCGCATTTTTTCACTTTCATAGGAGGATGTTTTTTTTCGTGCAGCTTATTTTCAATCAACTGACATTTATTCTCCCACTCGGCTTGTTCTCTCTCATATTTATCTCTCAGTTTTTGAAGACGTGCTTCTTCCAAACATACTAACTCATACTTATATGAACGATTAAATACTTTTTCTAGAACGAAAGACGGTTAAATGAAAAAAAAAAAATGTGTGCGCACTATGTTTTTTATTTGAAGCGAATCTTGATACTAATAGCCATTAAATTGAAGGATTTGAAGGATATATATTTTTTATGAATGCTTTTTATAAACTTCAAAAAAATTAGAGTTAATATAAAACCGTATACTATTCTAGCTTTATAATTTTATAAGGTTTTTTAATTTTTATTAAAAAACGATAATTCTATTACCCGGCCGGATAGCTGTGGAATAAACCAAAATACTACTACATCTATATCTCTGACTACTACTAACCAACAATTTGTTTTGTATAATCTTTGGTCTGTTTTTGTTTAAATATTTTGTTCATTATTCATGTTGGGGATTTATTTTTAAATTAATGTTAATCGTTACGCAACCAGTAAACTCATAAAATATGTATTTCTTTATGTTTTTATTTTACATAACTAAATTGTCACTCTAAATCGCTGTCTTCTTTAGACAGATGTCACTTGTCTTGTCATTATTAATTCATTATTCGATTCGAATTCTCAGAATGTTAACAAAAGTTTCATCTTAAAATAAAATTTTAATCAATCACAATTGTTTATCTCCATCATTTACCTGAACAATAATACAGAAATTACAGCTCAGTTACAAACAATTCAGTATTTATAGTGATTTAGAGTAATATTCTCGTTGATTATTGGTTTGAAATAAATATGACAGTGTCCTCCAATGAAAATGTGAGTTACTAACTCTAAATTCTAATTCTGAGCTGGCAAATGAGCTAGATGCTTTACCAAGGCCATTATTCCTATTTAGAAGCTACAAACCTATCGTTGAAAATATGCATGAAATCAAAGTTGTTACAGTTTCAAGTTTATTATAGTCATTTTCTTAGCCGCATATGTCACAGATCGTTACCCAGTGTTGTCACAAGCTTATTTTTCATCGGGGTAGATTATCACGAGATAACGGGGTTAAATTGTTTTACAAAGGGGTAGATCTACCCCAAATGGGATAGTTGTGGCAACACTGCCGTTATCACTTTTCCTCTCGTCAGCTCGCGCGTCTATGGCTCGCGCTGTGTGTGTGTCACAGCCTTGTATTTTTACTCCCAACGCGCGTAAAGTTTCCCTTCAAAAAGTTGGCGTAAAGAGAAAGCCTTGTTCATGTAGACGCGAATCGCGAATAGTGATTTTGCGAAACTGCTCTCATTGGTCCAATTTTAATGATCATGGCGGCGCTGTCAGAAATTTTAAGATTTTGGCGATTTGCAAGATTTAAAATGTGGGGGGCGGGAGAGTTAAAGTGTTTTCAACTTTTTGCGAATATTCGCGCGATTTTAAGGTTCGCGTTTGCGCAGAATGGTATTGTGATGCGGTTATCGATTATTTTGATTTTCTTAAATTAAATTGCGATTTCTGTGATTGCGATAAGCACCTTGTTGCTTACGAAATTTAAATATTTCACATGTTCCAAATGATCTATAAACTCGTTTTCTTCTACGTTTTAATAATAAGTAAATTGAATTTTGCGCCTTCTGTTCCAATCCCACAATCGATATTCATAATCGAAATCGATATTCATAATCATTAAACAAATTTAAACTCATATTGTATGCTATAAAATATAAAATAAAGATCGTAAACACGAATAAAAAAGAAATTAAGTTATCTCAGGTTATGATTTTTTTGGTAACTTTCAGTGGAGCAAAAATGGAATGTCCCTAAAAATTCGCGACTGTATGAAATAGGTCCAAATTTTACGTATATTTTTTGGCGAATCGCTTTCCGCAATTCGCAATTGGCGTTTACAAGAAAAAAGCTGGACCAAATGATCAAATAAAACGGCGTCCAGTTGGCTTGGAAATGAACACTGATGACGTTCCCTATATATAAAATGACAGCGATCTTCATTTCATAGCCATCGCTGATCGTTTTTTCTCGACCATATTGTTAGAAAGCGTGTACTAATTATAATGTATGCTGGAATAAACAAACTAAAAATATATTAAATTTATACGTATATCGAGAAATTTTGCTTTTGTATAATTAAAGTTGACAACATCGATTTTTTTGCTCGCATTCCTTTTGCTGCTTCAGATCCATTTGTCAGTTTAAGTCTGCTAGACCAAGACCAAGACCAAGGTGAGTCTTGATTTTGGTCTTGCATTTGGTGATTACTATCAATATGTATAGAGAATATTTATGAATGTTTCTGTCTTGTAGTTGTTTTGATTGCTTGGTCTGGATCCAAGTGTAAAAAAATAACTCTGTATTCTCACCCATATGTTTGTATCTAGGATCGTAATCATCAACTTTGACAGAATACTTCTTCTGCATGTCATGTAGAAAGAAATCATCTTTTCCCGGTTCTAGAACCCACGAAGCTTTTGATTCTTTGATCCATCTGTTCATTATGGTTGGATGGACATGTTGCACCTAAAGAATAATGTTAACAGTATCATTACACAAAATCGGAGGAGTCTTAAACAGGATTCCTATTCTATTTAAGACTAAGATTTCATGTAATAGTCCTGTATTACATGAAAATAATACCAACTATTACTAACCCTATAAATACCACCTATTACTGACAATATACAGAACAAACTCAATAATAAGTAGGTGGGGGAGATGTTCCAAACGCCCTAAGAAATTTCTGGAAATTATTTTCAAGTTTCTACAACGACCGCTCGAAGGCGCAACTCCTGTGGCAAATAAAAAAATGGAATTTTTACAAAATTTTGCCTGGAGAAGTGGTACTATAAATAATGGCATCGTAATCCTCAGCAAATTTTGGATTATTTTTTGTTCAAACCATTTTATATTTTATTTTATTTTATATTTTTTATCGCTGATCGTCCCTGTTGCACCGTTTCACATGGAGCGGATCTTCCGTTGATTTAACAAGTACCTTGAGTTTGTATGAGTATTTTCACATGGGCGCGGATGGTCCGTTCGGATGATTTTCAAACCGACGGCCAACCGTCGAGCCCTTGCTTCGACGGATCAACCGCGCCCATGTGAAAGTATTCCTATAAACTCATGGTACTTATTCAACCAACTGACCGTCTACAGGTGAAAGTACTCTGTCAGGCCCTAAAAATAAACGCGATGGACCGCGCGGACGGTCCGCTCCATGTGAAACAGCACTAAAAAGTTGTCGAAAACCGCATCTAGATATATTTTACCCAGCCAAAGAAATTAGCAAAAATAAAAACACGAAAAAATAAGCCCTATCTATCTTACTTTTATAACACGGTATAAGTAGCCCCCTCTTGATTATGACCATTCTAATAAAATATAAAATAAAAACTATTATTAATTTCTTCTAACATCGATAATATGTCAGAGTACCATAATGCCACATGTATTAATACCTAATTTGATTTATTTCTTTTTTCAAAATGCCTCTATTACTTGAAGGAGCAGGTGATCGACAATAATTACTGCAAGGGTTTTTATCCTCAAAGGCGCTGTTACAAAAGTAGAATATTTAATCGCTTGGCTTGTCGTTTCCGCACTACTGAAAGTATTCATTGCCATGTTTATTTTTTTATGTTTATTGACTTTCCCCTAAATTTTCTTACCTCAATTTTTTCTGGTACTTCATTTTCTTTGTACGCAATAGGAGAACAGAACACTCCTAAATTTGTCTGAGTGACTCTAGGAAAAGACTCCGGGGTAAACTGTGAAGAATCCCTTTGAATTTTAGGGATTTCTCTTAAAAAATAATCTTTCGGAGGATACGGAGGAGCAGTAAACATTTTCAATAAATACTATCTCACTTGATGTACTTTAGATATTACCAGAAAATATTTAATGTCATGCTGACAATTTATTTTGACATTTAGGACAAGTTTATTATATTGTGATAACGGCACTACACTTTCTTGGTATATTCCGTATATTCTTCTCAACGATATCTGAGAGATTTGAACTATACAGGTCTTTCAATTCAGTCCAAATCTCAACGTGTGGTGGAAGATCTCATCGAAGAGTTGAGATCTGCGATGCGGAATATTTTTAACTTTTGGCGGGAACAAATCTATCATACTATATCAATCTATCATACTTTTTGTGCCTCCCTGTCGGACTAACTTTACGCTGGTCTGTCAAACATACAACAGCCTTATTTACATTAATAGATGCAGGATAAATCCATGGGATAAATCCGTTATAGAAATATTTATTATAGTTTTCTAGAACATATTTTTATAATTTTACAGTTATTTTTTTTATTCTGAAGTTTAAAAAAAGTTTATTTTTTTATTTAAATCACACATGTTTAAAATAAAAAAAATCACTTGATTTAAATCACGATTTAAATAAAGAACATTTTTTTTCGTATTCACAATCTTTTTATCGATTAATCTATCCTAAATTTAGCTGCCAAGATGTGCCAAGAGAATAAATATATATTGTTTTAGGTACCATGTCAATAGAAAAATCTCTCTTGTTTTCTGCTTGGTGTGAAGGCAATTCTTTGAAGGAAAAAATGCATCTGTTTTGCGATTTGTTCTGAATACGCTAAATTTAGGGCAACATGATGGCGACGAACATTATAATGAAATAGTGAAAATTATTAAAAAATTAAATTATTATTATTATTACTCTTTGTCTAAATGTGTGGGAGCACGGTCAAATAAGGAACTACTTATCAAAGAGGTTCTTAATTTACTTCGAGAGCCTACTTTACAGGCATCAGAGTTAGGACAAAATGATAAAAATATTAGTCAGGATGATGATGATCATTATAATATTGATGATTGAATATTATTGTTACATAAATATCTCTAGTAAAATAGTTTTATTATCACTTTATTTATATTTGTTAAATGTTTTAGGTTGTTTTTTTCATTGTTCAAGCTAATTTTTACTTTCAATTACTAATACAGTACATCTTCTGTAAACCTTCTAGATACTAATAAATTCACTTACAAAAAAGTAATGAACTACAGGTTTTGTTTGAGTTCGATATAATAAAATGAAAAAAAATAATAATATATTTCGTAAGACACCCTGTACAAGCATAAAATGAAACAAAATATCATTATTCCACGCATTTATTTATTTTCTTACCAAACAAATTACTTTTGTTTTAAAAAATAATTTAAATTTTAAAGGCATTATTTATTACCGCCTAAATAGGCGAAAATGACCTATGTGAGCCGTGGAAAAATATATTTGATCATCTAATATTTTTCGTGTCTTTTCCTGGTCGGTTAAAATATGCTCAACTCGTATTTTTAATCATAACTCAATTTTTTCAAATGGAACGAGGGTGGCTCATTAATATATATTTAAAAAGAGCATTTTTTACGAATAATTTGGTGCTAAAAGTTAACGTTATAAATACATGCGCAATTGTAAGTTGCGCAAGTAGCAACTTAGGCAATGTTATGGCACAGTTATGGTATAAAAATAAAATATCATCTGTGACTAGCATTGTATTTAATTTCGAAATTTGACAGATGGTTCAATCAGATCATAAATCAGATGTATTACAGACTGTTAACAAATGTATATAAAATAGTATATTTATAACAGAGCGAGTTCCCCTTTACTCTCTTTATTGTCTACGCCTATAAATTTCTAAAACAATAAAAGCCAGGTTCTGCAAATAAAATTTTATTAAAAAATTTAGACATCATCATTTTATGAATGATTTTTTAACAATTTTTTGACTCAATAAATTTTTAAAGTGTAAATTTTACAATACATTTATTATTGCAGGTATCACACTGTACACAGGAAATTTATTCTTCTATACACTATTTTTTTGATACATACAAGTATTATTCGTTATGCCTAAATTAAAAATTGTATTTTTACATTGTTCTTTTAACAACTAAAAATAATATATTTTGATGCTAATACCAAAAAAATAAATATTAAATAAGAAAAGTATAAAAATTATACTACAAAAATACAAATATGATAATATAAACATTTATAATTTCATATATATAAATACGAATTTATATACAAATAATGTAATGCCATTTATCGTATATAGGAAAATAAGAAAATAAGCAATGTGTACACAGTGCCTGTTTAAACTGTGTTGGTCCTGATATAGGTCGTTTTTTTATTAAATTAATAATACAAAACTTAATTTACAAACAGTTTACTAAAAGAATATACATATATGTAACAAAAATAAAATAACATTAATTTTATAGTACCTATTATTTACTTAATTTTTCTATCTAACAAGCACTGAATACTCAATAATTTATGGCACAAAAATGAAGAGTTGAAAAATAAGTAGTTGAAAAATGATAACCAATAAAATTAATAAATGTATAATTAATATCATTACACTAAAAGTATTTAAATAGTATTGCCTAGTTAGACATTTCATGTCCTTGGACACATTATAAGAATATATAAAAATGAAATTCTTGTAAGAAAATAAAGAACAATAATTCATAAATGCAAATTAAAAAATCTTATTTTTTTATTGTTTTCTTAAATTTAAAAATAAATAAAAAGGTAACTATAAATACCGTATGACCGAAAAAAAAACAGCGTCCAGTTTCGATCGATTCATTTCCAGACGATCGATTCATTTCTTCATTTCAGCGATCTTCATTTCATAGCCATCACTAACGCCGGCTTTTTTTCGATCATATTGTATTAACACAGATTTAAAAAAATTAAACCTTAATATTTTAAAATATAGTTTATATAAAATGCCAATAACTTTAAAATTATAGAAATATCAATAAGTTGCAATAGTTGTTCCAATCTCTCAGTTATTTTAAATATTAACAAAACAAAAAAATAAATTCTTTAAAGTAACTCTATAAACCAATGCAAACCAATTAATTCTACCGAATTTGAAATAAAATTATAAATAAAAATAGGTTTATTTTCTTGAGTTTAAATAAACATTTTAGTCTATGAATATCTACAAAATTAAATTAAAAGGTAAATATGACTTGAATATGTATAAGATGCCAAAAATATTTTTTTTACTTGAAAATATAATACAGGGTGGCGCACCTCATTCGCCTCGGTTGATTATACGAAAACGGAAAGATGTAGAAACAAAATATTTTATGGGTATATGTGGGGAGGTAATGTGCACAATTTAAAATTATTTTGAAATGTACAGGGTGTTTCAGAACTAAGATCCATACCAAAGTTATATTTTTTCTTATGTAACACCCCGTATTTTATTTCATTTTTGGATTCTTGGGCCCAAAAAAGGTATATATTATAAGGGTTAAATATGTTTAAAATCTTTGGTTTTTGAGATATTTAAAGATATTTAAATTTGCATGCTACAATAGAATAGATTATTAACACCCTTTATAAAACCTGTATGTAATAAACTTCACAGAAAAATGTTATTCCTTCCTTAAATGTATACAGGGGTATCAAAAATTGCTGGTCTATTTTAAATATTTATTTTACATAAAAACTTCGTTATTTCAAATACAACACTATGTATTTTTTTAAAAAAGTCGAAGCAAAAACGCTCTTTCAAACTATATTAGAGTTTCCTGTACCTATATGGCTCAGATTTTGAATAAAAAGCGATTTTTCAATAAAATTGTAATCAAGATGGCTAGTGTTGTCATGGCAAGTTTCTAGTGACAGTTAGTAGGTATTTTCAAAATCGAAATTAGTTTATGGACTTATTTAAATTTATACCAGTTTACTTTTATTTAATTTACCTACAATAGTTTAATAAATAATATTTATTAAATATGTAAGTATTTATTATTCTATCAAGAAAAACGAAGAAGTAGTTCTTTGAATTATTTTACGATGACTTGTAGATATATGGATTTTCTATAAAATAGCCAATTACGGCAAATTCATTTTATTCACTTCCAACGACAGGTTTCTACCTAATAGTTTTTTTATCAACCACACTACCAGCTCTGCGAAATAGGACAAGTTTATCAAAGAAACGCTTATCAGGAAGATTCCTATTTGAATATCTTTGAGCATAAGCCCTTGAGGCCAAGAAGCAATTTTCCTCACAAAATAATATCACTAGTAACATATTCATGCCTTCCGCCAGCAGATACTGTATTATTTGTAGGTAAATTAAATAAAAATAACCTGTTATAAGTTTAAATAAAGTCTATAAATTAATATCATATCTATTCGTTCCGCCCCAGCAGATACTGCTTTATTTTTCTTGATAAAATAATGAATACTTACTTATTAAACTATTGTAGGCAAATTTAAGTAAACTGTTATAAATTATAAATAATAATGTCCATAAAGTAATATCGACTTTGAAAATAGTTACTAACTGTCACTAGAAAATTGCCATGGCGACACCAGCCATCTTGATTGCAATTTTATTTAAAAATCGCTTTTTATTCAAAATCTGAGCTAGATAGGTATAGGAAACCCTAATATAGTTTGAAAGAGCATTTGAATCTGCTTCGACTTATTTAAAAAATACAGGGTGTTGCATTTGAAATAACGAAGGTTTTATATAAAATATATCCTTAAAATAGATCAGCAACTTTTGATAGCCCTGTATAAATTTAAGGAACCAATACCATTTTTCAGTAAAGTTTATTTCTCTACCTTTAAACTCAGCATAAGAATTAATTCTGAAAAGTAATGTACAGGGTGTTAATAGTCTATTCTATTGTAGCATGCACATTTAAATATCTTTAAATATCTCAAAAACTAAAGATTTTAAACATATTTAACCCTTATAATAAATGCCTTTTTTTGGGCCCAAGAATCCAAAAATGAAATAAAATACCGGGTGTTCCATAAGAAAAAATATAACTTTGGTATGGATCTTAGTTCTGAAACACCCTGTATATTTCAAAATAATTTTAAATTGAGTTTTACATCTTTCAGTTTCCGTATAATCAACCGAGGCGAATGAGGTGCGCCACCCTGTATACAGGGTGGTCCGAACTGTATTCCGGAAACTACGGCAACATATTCTGCAGATAAAAATATGTAAAAAAGTTCGTTTATTATTTATTTATTAATCTTCAAACCAGATAAAAAAATGCAGGTGGAGCCCTCTACAAGTAGGAGTCATATTTTCAGACACCAATTTTTATCCAAATATTGACGTTACTTACGAAATTATTTGGAAAAAATTGATATAAAAATGAAACTTCAACACCCTGTATCTCCCAAACTAAGCATTTTAGGACATACATTTATACGAACTTTTTTACTTATTTTTATCTGCAGAATATGTTGCCGAAGTTTCTAGAAAACAGTTCGGACCACCTTGTATATTTTATAGAAAAAAATGCAGTCATGTATTTGTAAATAGTATAATAATAGTAGTACAGAATAGTTTACAGAAAATTACTAATTTTATTTCCAGTACTAAATAATTGAAATAGAAATAATGTAATAATTATTTAAAATATTTGAAAGTTAACAAATTCTGGTGAAAAATGGACATTTCAAATACATAATATATTTGAAATAGATTCTAATTAATCAATGTAGGTGACTATTTTATAAGGTAGGTATTTAATAATTATGACAACCTTTGAAAGTCTTCTAATTTTATAATTACTTATTTTTTACATTATTGTTTCAAATGCTAAATTCAAAGATGAACATTTTAATTGACTAATAAAATATTGATACCTAGATACACAACACTTTTCAATCTACTGAAATACAGTATAGTACCACAGTAAGTCTTAGATCTTATACTGCGTTATTACAGTTTATGGAATACAATATCATGCTAATTACTGATGTAAAAATGCAAACAGATAAATTTTTTATTTTTTATATCTGAATAAGACATGAATAAAATAAAAAAATATGATAACAGGAAACATCACCTATACTTGAGCATTTTATTAGTTCCTTTAGCTTTCATTTTTAAGAAAAAAAAGTATATTAATATTGCCAAATTATTTTTTTCAAGGCATCGATCACCAGGATCATTAGCCATGGACAGTGCAGCTTTATTACCTCCATACGCAGTGGCGTGCGGTGCAAATCAAAGCAGGTAGGCAAAAATTGACAAACTAATAAAATAAGATTAGCATAAGTAATCAAAATAATTATTTTTTATATAAATTGGGGAAAATTTTCCAGATTTGGCATCATTGCATAGGACGGCAGTCGACGCCTCTAAGGTCGACGCGCGACGCCGACAAAATTAAACCAGGCGGATTGGCAAATTGGAAATCTAATGAAAACAACTGTATTCAGAAAAATGTGTTGAATTACATGAATCTTATAAGCAATTTTGATATACCATAAACCGCAACATTAATTACAATGTTTCAGAGTAATGCGATATTCTCTAAATTGGTTTTATGAAATTGAATTTCTTTCGCTAAAAAATGATGAATTATTATTATTATAATACAAATAAGTATTATAAGTAAGGTCACATATGAAAAAAAAGGCCAGAACATTTTCCTTATGATGTTTCTTACTCAGATTTTTTTATCTCGCTTCAAAAAATTATATTAAATCATATATACCAAATCACAAATAGGTATCTTATTGCTTCCAATAAAAAAAACAAAATTTCTATATAATTTTAATGCATTAATGTTGTCAATATACACTATTATACACGATATTCATGTATGCGCATACTAAAATACTTACGTTTTTTAACTAATATTCGATGACACTGAAGAATGAAACTACATAGATGAGAATAAAAATCTACTGATTTTTATGTCCTAATAATGCAACTCGTATGATACGAATAAAGAAATATATTACAGGAATGTAAACTAGACTAGATCGAATTATTTTATACATCCTAAGTTAAATTTCAAAAGATCTTTTTATACAGGGTAAGTCTTCAATAACTGCAAATCTTTTCAGTACTGGCAGATCTCCATAAAAGAGGCATATTTTCTCTTTACCGTTTTTCAAATAAGTCCAAAATAACCGAGATATTTTACTTTGAAAATTTCAAAAAATTGTTTTTCCCTTAGATTTTGAGAACCGCTGGATCTTTTTTGAGTTTGTTTTGTAAATTTAATCTACTACATATGTTGCCATATTATGAAGATTTTATGTTTTTTAACTAAAAATTAAGAAAAAATCCATTTTTTTTTAAATTCCAAATATTAAAAAAAAAATTCGCGAAAAAACCAAACCTCATAGACGTGTTTCTGGGGTCGAAATATACTACCCCTAAAAATATTTGCACTTATTTAACACTCACCCTGTATAAATAATGTATTACCACAACACAGGATTTTGCCAATTCCATGCATTATATAAGAATATTTAATGTTTTTAGAGAATTTTAATAAAATAACCATATTTGTATGATCATGGAATGCAATACTCAAAAAAATCATACTCAAAACAAAATATCATTACAAGTTTGTGGTTAATAAGTATTTTATTTTTTTTAAACTTCTTAAAAACGTACTTCTAAAAAAATCACATCTTATACAGGTAACATTCAGAGATAACATATTATGCTATCTGTCGTAATTTTATCGCAAATATGTAAACACTTTTTTGTCGCTAATGATTAGCGCCTAATATGCAACTGTACAATGTCGAGAATGTTTAATGAAAAACAATCACATATAGTTAGCTGCTAGATACCAATTTAAAAATATTTTTAAGACAAAATATAATGTATTTGTATTATTATTATCATTATTACTTCAATCTGTTAGAATCAATATCAGATATGTTCTTTTAAAAAGTCAATACCCTTTATGTAAGAATACAAGTTTATACCCAAAAGTTGAACACATACATATTCCCATAATATTATAAGTTTGATGCAAATATTTTAAAGATATTTTAAGTAGTAATGGTAATAATAATGTAGTTGTTATCTATTAAGTAAATAATTCATTAAGGAAAAATACAGAATACAAGTGATTTGTGATTCTTGAGTTAGTTAAGCCTTTTATTTCAATGATATGTAGGTATAGGTATTTTTAAAATCATATGTTTTTCAAAAATTCGGATTGGGTGTAAAAATCTTCAGCAAAATCCCATGTTATAAGAAATACGAAAGTGATGACACTTCTGCCAGAGCTACAAGCTCACAGAAGTCTTTTTTTGATTTAAATAATTTTCATGACTTACGTCATTTGTTTTTAAGTCAGTTTTCAAAAGCCGACTTAATTTAAATAATTTTCAAAATGATTTGTGATTTAAATCTTTATTCCGAAATCGAAAAAGAATTAAGTCATTAAGAAAACACCTAAATCTTTAAAATATTTAAGTCTTTTTGTAAAAGTCTTAGGTCAAATTTTTATATATTTTTATGATAAATTTTTAACAATAATGTTTATTTTTAAAATTTTAGGCGGCAACCACGCAACAAATAAAAAAACAACGCTCAATACTACTAGCAAATAAAAAGTTACGTTTTTAGAAACCGCTTTTATAATAAAATTAATAATAATTAATTTGACGGAATATGTTGTATTACGCGTGTGTAGTGAGTCTGTTGTCTTTCGAGTGAATCAAGTGAATCCCTAACCCCGTTATTAGGCCGAAAGACAAACAAAAGAAATTGATGTCGAATATTTTGAAGAGTACCTTAAAATCCTCTAGCCCTTAGCCTATTCCATCGACATATTACGCTACACAGTGAGCAAAACATATTACCACTTTTTAATGGACATGCATTCGATGACATCTAAATTGTAATGGATACAAATAAGTACTACAAAATCGATTAAATTCTATAAAAACATATTTTTGTGTTTGTAATTAATAATATAGATAATAAGGAAATCGGCAATAATAGGGTACAAAAATTAGTACTTCAATTAGTACTTCAACTGAATTTTGGCTGCTTCGACTTGACGATAATTATTTTGATTTAGGTCATTTTGCTGACTTGCAGATTATCATGATTAAAATAAACTTATGCCATAAAAACGACTTAAATTACATTAAATCGATTTAAATCTTTACGAAAATGACTTGGCTTGAAAGAAAATAATTATTTATGTCAAAGACTTAAGGTTGGTTCATATAGAAGCAAATTGCGAAATGCGAAAGCGAATTTCATAAAATAAAATGTTATACTCGTATATAAAATATTTTCGCAGTTCATATAGAGAGAATTCGCAACAAATTCTAGTGATATTTGTGTTTTTAAACACATGTTGAAAATGTCACTGGAATGAAGAATTTTATTTTTGTCTCCAGTTGCCATTTTCGTTGTCAGTCAACGCGGTGCCGTGATAGCATACATAGGTTTACTTTTATATATTTGTGTAATGGATGAAGCTGATATTTTTGGAGTAGAAGACGATCTATTGCTGTATATTTATAAATAAAAAATAGCAAAAATAAAATACACTAAAATACAGAACAATTATTATTGGAACATGTGAAATATTTAAAAAATGAAAACAGCAAGGAGCATATCACATTGCATATCACAGTGCAATAAATGAGAATTAACGATGGAAAATATTTAGAAACTAAGATAGAACGTCTATAAAGGCTTTCGATTTTCGATGGTTTTGAAAATGTTCCAAAATTACCAGTCTGTAGTCAAAATATTTGTAAAACTTCGTACTACAAATTAAAGAAATCTTAACCAATGTTTATATTACTATAAATATAACAAGAAATAAATGACAAGAGATGACATTACATAAAAAATCATATCTACGCACGCGCTCATCAAAATTTGAAGCGAATATTCGCAAAAATTAAATCAGTTTCAATATTCCCGCCCCCCAGATTTTAAATTATGCGAATTCGCATAATATGAAAACAACTTTCTGTCAATTTTGTCGCCTCTGTATTTTTTGAAATTGACCAATAACAACAATATTCACAATTCGCTTGTATGTTAACCTACCTTTAAGATTTAAATCGTTTAAACTTTATGTTGAAATTGACTGAAGCTTCGTTCAGAACTTCGCAATTAGTGGTTTCAATTACACTTTATACTATTTAGGGTGTATTCCGTTGCTTACCTTGGTTATGGTTTTATGTTCAGTTTCTATCGGTTTCCTGAAAGTTGTCTTATTATCCCAAGCAGCATTTGGACGTCGGGACAACGTTGTGTCACGCGACCAAACGTCGGGGCGCAACGTCGGCACAACCTCGTGCCAACCCTAGTCTGCACTAGTTTGGAGAATAATTTTTGGGTTGAAACGACGTTGGATACCGACGTTGGCTAGCAGCCTAATTTAGTACAAACTGCAACGTTGTTTAAAATCCTAATTCACAGAAATACAAAACTAATATGGCGTCTAAGTCGCGTTTTATCCTAAATTGGGATAATTATAGTAAAAATATTATTTTTATGATTTAGTTAGAGACATATGTCAGATGGCAGTGAAGGAAAACAAAACAAAAGTATTTAAGTTGGAGGATGTTTGAAGATCATAATTATTGAAACCTTTTAACCGACTCTGTAACTCGTTACCCAAGGTAAAAAAGTTAAACGCAAACAACTTTATTGATAAATGTATTGTTTCTACTTTGAAAAATACTAATGGGCCTTAAAATTAAAGAAGTTTTAAAAATTTTCTTGAATTTTTTTTTAGTAAAATGAGAATAATTTATTCGCAGTCGAAAAAATTGTTTCCGCGTGTTTTTTAGGGTCAAATATTTCAAGTTAATGTATTCAAAAGCAGGAATTGCTATTTTAGGAACGAAACATTTTCTTATTTAACAACATGGCGGCTTTCACTTTGTTGTTTTGGAGATTAAGATGGAGTAGTTCGAGTAGTCGCATACTGGACTAATAAAGTCGCAGTTCGGCCTTAACAGGTAGTACACTAGTCGCAAGATTGCCTAATTTAGTTATCCTAGAGTCTAGCTTGTGCCGCCCTCTATAATCTAAATAAACGAGGGAGTAGATAAACTATCGGTAATATATGTCGATGTATATTTAAATTTAGTTTTATATGTATCTTTCTTATGTCCCATTTTAATTAAGTTTTTTTTATAAAAACAAAAACAGCACTGAACTGTCTGACTGAACAGAACAATGAAGTGAAAATTTAAGATTTAAGGTTATGGTTCAATACAGTTGCAAAAAGTAGTGACTCGACGTCCTACCAACGTAAGAATAAGGAAATCTAAACAACGTTGGAATTAGTAAAACAGACGACGTTTGCATAACGTTGGAATAGGTCCTGAAACTGACGTCGGAAAACTCTATATTGTCCAACGTTGTAACTACGTTGTCCGAATCACTTAAAGATCACTTAAGCAAAAAAGGTTACAAGACAACGTTTATTCGACGTCGCAGAAGCTTCTACTTTGTTGTAGTATTAGTCGAACGTCGGCACAACGTTATAAAAACGTTTAAATTTATTTTAATACCCAAGGTAGGGAGCTAACTATTTTTTGTAACTAATCCAACGTTGTGTTTAGTAAACATGTGGTCGCAAGTCGTGAAAATGCTACTTGGGATGGAACACGGTTCCAGAACAATATCTATCACAACTGTCACCAAACTCACCAGCGCGAGAAGGCTGGTTTTTCTGGTTTTGTTTGTCAATCAATATCATTTATGTGACAGAAATCAAGCAAATATTGGAAGTTCCGAGTGAAATTATCGTTTAATTTCTAAAATTTGTAATAATATTTTGTATTTATATCCAAAAGCAATGGAGGTAGGTAGTAAAGGTAAATAAATTTAACCATTAACTAAATAGAATGACTTTTTAGAACCATTTAAACTTATCATGCAGACATTGTTTCTTAAAGTCAGGAATATTTAAAGAAAACAAGACAACAAGTAATCGTGAATGTTTTGTACGCTATAAAAATATAAATATTGATTAGATTTGTTTACATTAAAAATGCATGAAAGATAAATTTTATAATAAAGGTATTGAAATTTAGAAAACGTCAACATTTGACATCTGGTTTTGCAACGGTTCGCCTGGTTTTGTAACGGAATACAGCCTTAGTTTACGATCATTCACAATGTTTAAAAAACACAGTTAAAATTAATAGAATATTCTAGCAACAGCTTGCGTTAGTCAGTTGTATCCATAGAGAAAGCTTAATATTTAGCTTATAAAACAATCAACTTTTGATATCTAACCACCATATTTCGTGACGGAAGATAATCACAGGCCAAAATGACATTTCTCGCACATTTTGAAGTATAATTAGTGGACAAGTCAAAAATTTGATAACTTTTTCTACTAAATGAAAATATCTACCACTACTTTGACGTTCTAAATGCTTACATTGCAACTAAAGGAACGAACTTCTAGGCTAATTGAAACCACTAATTTATTGCACTAATTGCGAGGTTCTGAATGAAGCTTTAAGATTGAAATAATTTTAATTTTAGAAATGATTTAAAATAAAAAATAAAGGATTTAATGTCTTTTTAAAACTGACTTGTTGCGGTTCTGACTTCTGTCAATTCGTAAATATAAATACATTAATTCGCGGGCAAGACTCATTTCAAATCGATTTCTGGACTTTCCAATTTAAAATGTTTGATTTGGCCGTGTTCGACTAGCGGCGTGGCCAGCTCATCGTTATCGATACGGATCCGTATTTTGTTCAGTTCGGGAAACGAGCACGGATGTATTTTCTGAACGTCGCCGTTATGAGGGCTGGCAATCGGGGTGTCCAGTGGCGAGTACGGAACGTAGATGCGCAACACGTCAGGGCTGGGGTTGTGGGGAGTGGCCCTCGGTGTCGACTGGGCACTGGTGATCGGCTTTTGCATACCTGTAACATCTGTAAATTACATAGGGTAATTTTCAAATAAATTTATATTTAACCCATAACTAGTAACGTGCTAATTTCATGGCGATGGCGTAAGCCCGAGGTTACATTGGACGCGGGTCAGTGCGTTTTTTATACGTGCGAGCTCTCACGGAATTTACGCGTACAACTATTTTATTATAGTGGTTACATTAGATGCGCGTTCATGGTGTCATGTGTGTCAAGTTTGTCAAATCAAGCGCCACTTGATGGTCTGTGTGAGGACATAATATTAAAATTAACTACTCATGAAAAGAAGAAAATGTTGGATAAATGATTTATATGCAAGAGAAGAAGAAAATAAATATGTAAAACATTTAGTGAATTAAGACAGCAACCGGTCAATTTTTTTGAATATTTTATTATGTCTCCATCAACATTAATACATGGTGGGCCACTGAAAACTTACAATGGCTATAATTTCTAAACCAAAAAAGATATCAAAAAAATAAAAAATACCGTTTCTATAATATCGAGGGGGAATACATACGACGTATTTTTTGAACCATCCCGACCTACCCCTAAGGCGGCACCACTACTCACTTGAAAATCTTAAATGGCAACACCCCACTTGTGGCGCCTTTTTGGAAAGCCCATGAAAAATGCTAAACGATGATCATGAAGTTTTTAGGACGAAATTGAAAAACTACCCTTTACACGAAAAATTAGGTGGACATTAATGAGAAAAGTGATTTTTTCAGCATGAGTTACAAATTGGTACCCAGCTAAATGAGTTTTTTTTCAACTTTCAGCAGGATGGAGCCCCTTCGCAGTATTCTATTGTCACAAGGCGGTGGTTGGATAAATATTATCCAAGGCAACGGATTGGCAAAAGGGGTCTAATCGAGTGGCCGCCAAGGTCACCTGATCTCACTCCTTTAGACTTTTCCTTGTGGGGTTACACTAAATCCATAGTCTACAAGATAAAACCAGGTTCGATGCAAGAATTGCGGCAGAGGAGAACTGAAGCATGTCGAAATATTCCGAGAGAGACTTTCCAAAAAGTGAGAGAAGAATTTGAAAATCGTTTGTATTTTTGTATGGAACAAAATGGCTGTCATTTTGAGCAATTATTAAAATAAATTATCATTTTAAATTTCTTTCAAATTGTCACACCTACATTTCTTGTCACTAACCAGTAACAGAGAGAATACTAATAACTAAAGTGAGAGAGACCGATCAACGTTAATTTTTGAAGACTGTGTTAGTGGCGCGGCCTTTAGCGTCTAACCCGAACTATGAGCGCATTATCGATATAGTAGGTTGCATTCATACCTATATACTGGCGCCAAAAATTTAAAATTTGTATATTTGAACCGAATCTTAATCTTTCAAGTTTATAATAAGAAATCTTCGTAGTTTTTTTAGATTATTTTGTTGACAACGAAAATTTATTATTAGACTTTAAAGCATTAAAACCTATAAATAAAATACAGTGTAGGAACATATAAATTTATTTAACTCCATACTCCTTGCCATACTCCAACTCAAGGCTGCAATCTTCAATATCTTTTTTATCTAACTTGGTTGGGAGTGAACAGGGAAGCACGGTTGGGAGCTCGCACAGAGTATCAGTAGGTATCCTGTAGATATTCAATGTTTTTGATAGTCTTTATTCTATAACAAGAACCTAGCAGTTGAAGAAAATAATTTGTATTACTGGAAATAATACTAGGTATAATACCTAGTCGTTCCATAGGTATCAGAAAAGAATGTGATGTTTTAAATTAAAAAAATTAAATTAGCAATGTACGATTATTATGTGCACTCACTATTACTATTAGGTATGTTAAAATAATTACCGAGATAAAACTTACCTTTAAAGGAAACGTTTTGTCTGGATCTCAACTACAAAATAAAAATTACAAAAATGCCGAATAATCGTGGAATCTGAAATAGTCAATAATGACAATAATCTTCTCTTCTGACAAGCTAAAAGAACAGGCACATTCAGTCAAAAACAATTTATTACTCCGATTACCAACAGATTTTAGTTATCTCCTTCTAGAGCTAAGAAATAGAAAAAGCTACTGACAATCTAATTAATCCTGTCAAATGTTTAACTTGCAAAGTTGAAAACTTCCTTTTTTGGCCGCCTAAACGCTATACGCGTCTGGGATGCGCGGTGACAAAATAAATTTGTCTACGAAATGCCCTATTCCACAAGCCCTCTAACTTTAGTTATTAATTTGAAGTCTGTATGACCATCGTTTAGCAATTTCAATTAGCTTTCCAAAGAAGTATCACAAGTGGGGTATCGCTATCTTGAGATTAGAAGTGATGGGGTGCCACCTAGAAGTGGGTTGGGGTGGTTTGAAAAATACTTCATTTGCGTCATTTAGCTGGGTCCCAATTTGTAACTTATGCTGAAAAAATCACCTTTTTCATTAATGTCCACCTAATTGTTCGTGTAAGGGTAGTTTTTCAATTTCACCCTAAAAACTTTATGACCATCTTTAGCATTTTTCATGAGCTTTCCAAAAAGACGCCACAAGTGGAGTGTTGCCATTTAAGATTTTCAAGTGAGTAGGGGTGCCTCCTAAGGGGTAGGTCGGGGTGGTTCAAGAAATACGTCATATGTATTCCCCCTCGATATTATAGAAACGGTATTTTTTATTTTTTTGATATCTTTTTTGGTTTAAAAATTATAGCCATTAAGTAAGTTTTCAGTGGCCCACCCTGTATATCCCAAATAAAATTAAATTGTGATCAGAGAAACAAAATTTGAATGTTCGGACATGCACGTATTAAAAAAATAAACCAGTTTGTTTTCTTCCGACCAACGAAAATTGACGTGTACGGACGCGCAAACTCCGATGCAATGTAAGTGTGCGAACACAGTGCAAGCAGGTTTGCCGCTTACTGGTGTCAGCGCCAATCTGGGCACCTATTCTTGACATCGTTCGCAACTTTGCGTATACGCATCACGTGTATTTTTATAAACTGGGTATCCCAGAAATAAGTGCAAGTATTTTAAGGGGTGGTAGATCTCGATTAGAGGTGGGAATTCTAGTTCCTTGGGCGGAACTAGTTCCTTAGTTCTAGTTCCTCCAGAGGAATAGTTCCTTGAACTAGGTCCTTAGTTCACAATAGTTCCCGACTAACATTGACATCCCCGTTGCTTGCTAATGGATTTCGTTTTCAGTCAGAACTATTCACCCCCAGTTTACTATTCAAAATTATACAGATCATAATTTTTATAATGTACGAAATATAAGAAGACGTGTAATTGCATATGTTAAAAACATATAGGTAAGTTTTATAGCAGATAAAAAAATGAAAGAAACTCAAATCAGACTTTAAAAACTATATCACAAATCAATTGGAGGAAATAATACGAAAAAATGAATTTTTCCTCACTTCAAGCTTTTTGTTTTTATCTAAAAATTCAGAATATCTACTTCGTTTTATAAGATATTTCTTAATTTTAGGGACATTGAAGTGAAACATTCCCATAAAATATTTAAAAAACAAAGTAAAAATCAAAAACAGTATCCACGGCAATTTTCTGTGGTAATTACGCCGCGCCGGCTGTGGCAATACTGGCAATAGACAAGGCCGAATCCATCGTCGTCGCCTTGTATTATATCGCGAATCTGCCGACTGAATAGATTCCCGTGAACTAGTCTTTTAATAGTTCCTCTTTGTCCGGATTCGATAATACGGCATACGGCTGGCACTCCCCAGTCCTGCCTAGCATCGATCGCGCTGGCCCGATCCGTTCGTACGTAAACTAGTCTTTTATTTAGTTTAGTTCCTCTAAGAAGTGTCTAGCCCTAGCAGTCAACTATTAAGCTTGACCAATCAGGTTGGTTAGCGTGGTTATTTGAAGGGTGTTAATACATTTGTGTTTGTCAAAAACTCTAACGTGATTGGTCGGGCTTAATAGTTGCGGTTGCCTGCTAGGGCTAGACACAAGTGTTCCTCTAGGTCCGGATCCGATAACGTACGGCTGGCTCTCCCCACTCCTGCCTACCATCGGGCTACGCGCGCTAGCCGATCTGTCGCCGTCGCATATTATTCTATATCGGTCACAGTCTCGATCCCGGAACAAGTTCTGAGGTACTGGTTCTTTGAGAAACCAGGAACTAGTTCCTTTCATTCCGGGGTCGGAAGAGTTCATTGGAACTAGTTCGTTCACGAACTACACACCTCTAATCTCGATAAAAGAAACATATTTTCTCTTTATCGTTTTTCAAATAAGTCCAAAATAACGGAGTTATTTTACTTTGAAAATTTCCAAAAAAAAAAATGATTTTTTGCTCAAATTTTGAGAACCACTGGATCTTTTCTGGATTTTCTTTCTTGTAACTTTAATCTACTACCTATGTTGACATATTATCAAGACCATCATTTTTTTTAAATAAAAACTATAAAAATTTTCAAAAAATTCCGAATTTTCAAAAAAAAATTATTTAGAAAAAACCTCATAGGCGTGTTTCTGGGGTTGAACTATACTACCAGTTAAGTTAAAATACTTGCACTTATTTCTGGGACACCCTGTATATGGTTACATAGTAGCGCCGCGCCGTGCTGCCTCGCGCTTATAACCTTGAAAAATTAAAGTGTGTTATCAAATCAGAAGTGTCTAGTCCTAGCCGTCAACTATTAAGCTTGACCAATCAGGTTGGTTAGCGTGGTTATTTGGAGTGTGTTAATTCATTTGTGTTTGTCAAAAACTCTAACGTGATTGGTCGGGCTTAACAGTTGCCTGCTGGGGCTAGACACAAGTATCATATCGGCTAGTTCACAGTGACAGCAGTCAGGCACCGTCAACCAGCGTTCATCGGCATTCTCGCTTTTACCGGAACGAAAATTTATTTATTTCTGCTTTTGCACGCGCCGACGGCACACAGGGGGTATTAAGAACTAAAAGTTGGCCAAAATTATGTTTTATGATTTTTTTGCTTTTTTGCTAGTAATATTAATTATTAATTAGAGGAGAGGTTGCTAATATGGAACCCCATTTTGTTTTTCCTACACAATATTTTTTCCTCTACTCTGAAACCCTTTCCACCGATCAAATAGGGCCATTCTGTGCAAAACCAAGCAATTGGATGAGGATGCTAGAACAAGAAAGTAATTTGTATATTATAGACGATATTTGAGCGAGGATGGGTGTTAATAGGGTAAAGACTATTTCCTTTAAGAATCTATTTAAATCAATGTTTTTTTTGGCAGTGGCAAATATTGGCAAGATTTTTGTGCATATTCCAATGCTGGAGACTTTAAGCATTGAACGGATACTAATTTCCATGCGGAATATTGCCGAATAGTCTTACACCTTATAAAAATGCCACTGATTTTTTAAATATAAAACATTATAAAAAAATAGAATAGAAGGAAACGTTTCAAAATAAAAATATGGCATAAAACAGAACAGAGCCAACAAACAAAGCTGGCTCTGTATCCATCATGACAGTTATTATGAACAATTTGCAAAAAAAGCACTACAAACAATTCCACTATTTTTATAATCTTAGAAATATTCAGAATACACTCAAGATAATTCATACTTTTAACTGAAATATATTATTTATTTGATAGTCAACTTACGACTTAAAAAAGCTAATAACTATAAACTTGCTTACATTTAGTATTTATAGATTTGTATTCAGTTAAGATAAAAAATGAAAATAAAAATATCACTTTTGGCCAGGTTTATAGACCAAATACATCTATGTGCGGCATGGTTTGGTTAGGTTAGGTTAGTTAATCAGGTAAATTTCCTCTTAATTATCTACTTCCGCACCCTTCTCGCATCTCCGAAATAGCCATATACAATACACGTGATGCATATACGCAAAGTTACGCATCTGTGTATTGTTATATGGCTTTTTAGGAGATGCGAGATGCGAGCGATATTTGAAGATGCGAGTGGTCAAGAATAGGTCCCCAGAGACGGCGCTGGTTGCCGGAAAGCAGAAACCTGCCTCCACTATGTTCGTACCCTAACCGCCTGCGTAGATACCATTTGTTTGATTTTTGCTGCGTGCACGTCCGAGCACGTACGACCAAAACACGTCACAATACTTATCACTAAAATTGCGTAGTTCTTCTCAGACGATAGAGACATGATTAACGACTAAAGGAATGTTCGCGGGATGCTCGTTAAAACAATACCAGCAACGCGTGGCCAATGGCCGGCGTGCTCTTGCGCGTTCGCGGCGCAGCGCACCAATGTATATACCATACTACGTACCACAATGCCTAACCTGACATTTCATAGACATATACAGGGTTATTCACCTCATTCGACAAGGAGTATTGTAGCCAAATGATTGGATTTTTAGAAATTGTGAGTGATGGGATCGTTGGAGAACTAGTAAAGCTACAATTTAAAATTATTTTCAAAAGGTACAGAGTGTCCCAGATTAAGAAAAAATATCAAAGTTGTAGTTTTTTAAATAGAATATCCTGTATATTGTTACATTTTTAGTTTCTACACTTAAAATAAAGATAAATTTAAGGTTTACTGCACTTTAATTTTAGCGTTTTTGAAATATTTATGACTTTGTGAAAATACAGTAACAGTTTGGCTGCTGATCCATTACATAAAAATCCTAATGCAACTACTAACGTGACGTCTACCAGACGGCGATATATGATTAAAAATCGAGGGGTGTCTCACTCGGGCATAAAATGTACACGTACTGCCAAAATATTCTTCCACTGCTAAGCGACTGCCAGTGACTATGAAGAAGACTGCCTATGACTGCCATGTAATTATTATAGGCGACTGCCATAAAACTGCCAATGACTGCCAGCGACTGCCAAGAAAATGTACATGTAATTCCAATAGTGAGACACCCCTCGTTAAAAATAGAGAGCTGAACAAACTGTTTTCATCAAATTTGGAACACAATCTACCTCGAGGCATGTAGAAAGGTAGAATGTTAACCATAAAAAGTGAAGACGGACCTAGATATTTACTGTTGCTCCATTTGGTCCATCCATGACGTTACGTTAGTGGTTAAGGGTTAAATAGCAATGGTAGTGCTAGGTAACTGGCAGATTATAAATGACAGGATATTATAAGCAGTGTTGTTTGAATTTTTGATTAAAATTCTACAATAAACTCTTTAAAATAACATGTCATACAGGTGGAGTTGTGTCAACCCAGCTACACGATACATTACGTAGAGAATCTGACAGTGCCGCTCAATTTAAACTCAAATTTTCCATGCAGAGGGTCTAAGTCATAAAATTAAATAACAATATCATATCCGTTTATGTGGAATAACTCATTTTAAGTATTTTAGAAAATATTTTTTATACTTTTCAACTTTTAACAAAGGATTTAAAATAACTAACATTCAGCTACTACTTTCATTGTGAAGACCAAACAATATATTAAAGCCGATTCTGCACAGGTTGTTGAAGCGCGATTATTTTGCAATGTAGATAGCGTCATTTAAAACCATAGTTTTCTAGACATAAGGCATTGCTAGCTGCAAAACTGTCGCGTTTTAACTGCCCGTGTAGAATCAGCCTAAAAGAGAAAAGCACTGAAGTAACAAAATAAATCTATTTCATGCTAATTTTATTAAAATCTCGTATGTGCAGCACATAAAACCATACCTGATCCAACTGAGCTTGCCCCGCCTACTGAGTTATCGCTCATATTACTATGTGTATCTAAACTGTTGTCATGAGCTTGAGACCTGGTAATTGTTGAAAATACCGAAAGATCCGCCGTTGAAGTGACGCTCGTATCGGCCAATGATCGTCGAGAACCATTATGTTCGCGATATTCCAACAGCGAACTTGCATCGTCTATCGAGGGATCGAAAGAGAATTTCGAACCTAGAAGAGAATTTGATTTAAAATCAAACTTTTACAACACAGTCAGACAAGCACTAAAATAAATAAAAAACTATATTCTTTGGAATTAGTAAACTACATAACAAACTATAGTTTAATCATTAAGTAGGTACTTCAAAATATTAATATCAATGATCACAATGTTTGTCCTAAGTTAACCAAATACAGAATAAAATAACCTAACAATATTTAGTAAGTTAATGATGAAAAACTGGTATTTCATATTTCCAGAAAAATGTTCAATTTTTTTTGGAAAAATTTATGTATTTATTTATATATTTAGTCGTACCTGGTTATAACATATGATTACAGCTATATTTTTTCTTATAATGTCTCATAAATTAAATATACAGTATGTCCCCGGATCGTCTTTACAAGAGGAACAATGTTTTTATTATTGACATTTTGAGAAAAATGCATTCCCCATAAAAAATTTTGCTTGTTCTAAAATGGTTAATCTCGTTTATACTTCTCCAAATTTCCATACCGTTTTAGAGAAAATTAAGAAAAACTTGAAAATAGGGTTGAATTTTCAAGTCCTCAAAATCAAAACGCATTTCTGTGGTAATAATATAACTTCGTTTTCATTCTTTGATAGATTGTTATTTATAGAATTTTAATTAACGTAATATTTTTTGTTGTTTTAAAATGTTAAAGAAGCACAACATTAATTTCAATGCTGCGGAAAGGGTGATAATAGTTATCGGAACATGTGATACTTTAACAACAGCCAAGAATATGACATTAATCAAAATTAATAACAACCATCTATCAAAGAATGAAATCGAATTGATATGATTATAGAAACGCCTTGATTTTTAGGACTTTCATTTTCTCCAAAACGGTATGGAAATTTGGAAAAGTATAAACGAGATTAACCATTTTAGAACACGCAAAATTTTTATGAAGAATGCATTTTTCATAAAATATCAATAATAAAAAAAGTCCTATTGTAAGACAATCCGGGTACATACTGTGCATGTACTACTACAGCTTTTACACGCCTTGGAGTAACTAGGTACTACAGTGTAGTGTGCCCTAGTACTACGCTTCAACCACATTTTCCATTGTGATTGTGAATCCCAAATTATATCTTTTATTAATGCGAATAATTTGGGTTTTTTTGTTATTTTCTAAGATCTTTTTCCTACCCCCCTAATCATGCCAATGTTGTTTTTTCATGTAATTGTCATTTTTGTCAAAGTTTCCTGTAAACTTCATTTTAAGTGTATTGAAGAAATTAATACAACTTAATAATGGCTAAAGTTAAATGAATGATGTAATCAAGTATATTAAGGCTTTAAATTTAACAGGTTAAGTTAAAGTGTAGGTATCATGTTTATTCATTTCTCAAAAAAAAAACGAGTTAAAAGTTTTCTTATCATGTGTATAAGCTTGGTGCACTTCAACCGATTTTTTTAAAACCAACAGCAGCGCTTGGCACGGCAGAAATCAGAGGGAGAATGCACGGCGGAGAATGCACCAAGCCAATAGAAGCTGCCACTATCGGAGAATATCGCAAACAATCGGTATATACAAATACACGAGTTTAAATAGCGAGTATAAGAAAAAAAAAATATAATTATTCTAAAAGTGTTAGGAAATATAATTTGTGAAAATTCTAAAAAATTAAATATTTTGATATTTTCAGAAGGTCTAACTTAGGTATTATAATGTATTATATTGAAGCTAATAAAACTTTTTAGATGAGTTCAACTACGGTAGCGAGCATAGTTTTACGCACCAGTTTTTGAAAATATTCACAAAAAAATTAAGCACTAGTTGATTAAAGAAAGAGTATACCATTAATATTGCAAATAATAATTTAACCTCTCATAGTATATGTCTATTTAATTTTTTGATTATGCAATGGGCACTTTGTTTACTCACTTCTTTCGTCGAAGTGCTTGAATCCGTTTTTGCTTTTATCATATCGGTGTGAGAAGCTGTGAAGCTATAAAATAATGATTCGGGAGAGTTGAATATCCGGGAAAGTTGAGTTATTGAATGTTATTGCACCCAATAACCACTTAATTATCCCCTCCTTCACGCGTTAACATTTTTCGGCAATTTTATTAACATTTGAAATTGTCAGAACCACAACGCGACGCACAGTTCGAGTTCTTTTCCACTTAATTTTTACTACCCGAAACAGCTTACATCACACAAACCTCGCACCTGAGTGTTTATAGTTTCAATAACTGTACTAGCAAAAAACTAAAATTCTTAAATATTATGACAAAGTCACGATTTCAATATTATCTTAATGCGATAAACATGAACTGTAACCGGGAAGGCGTGAAATACATAGTGAAAACTTCTGATTTCTGCCGTATAGAGCGCTGCGGTCGGAATTTTTTGAAATCAACTAAAATGTACCAAGCTTATAGCTGAGAAAACTTATTATTATACATACATTGACCTTCTGCTCATAATGGTGCGTCGACCTGAGGAGTCGAGTGCGAGACGAGCGCGAGACATTCGAAATTCGCTAAGTATGGACGGGTCTCGCAAGAGTCTCGCGAGACAACCCACGGAGCCTCGTTGCTATCCGTCCCCTGTCGGTTTTTCGACGGCCGAGATCAAAGAAAGCTAGCGGCCAAGTCTGGATGTGTTGTTGGTAGGCTCGCTCGACTGCGAGATAATTAGCTCTGATATTATAGTGCATATTGAAATGGAGACGAAGATCAGCTGAAATTAATCGATGTATATAAAGCTAAACCAATATTATGGAATCCAAAAGATAAAGAATATTTAAAAAAAAACACGATGCGTGGGTAAATATTTCACAATCGATGAATAAAACCTGGGAAGAATGTAAAAAAAATATTTCTCCACTGGCAATATACAGGAAGGAGATTATTATAGGAAGAAATTTTAATTATTATTGAATTTTGTTACCTAGTCAATTAACTACACAGGGTGAGCCAACGATAAAGTTCATTATTTCATTTGTTTTGAGAATTATTAAAAAGTGTTTTAGAATTATTAAAAAAATAGAAAAACTGTAGAGAAGGTTAAGATACACATTTTAAAATTATTTTAGAGTATACAGGGTGGTTCAAAATAGTGTTACGGATATAACATGGTTTTTTAAATGTAATACCCTATTTTTTATTTTATTTTGAGATTCTGCGTAAATTTTTTTATGTATAATACGATGTTTATTATGTATAATGCATAAAAAAATTTTTTGTATAATTTGTTATATACAGGGTGTCTCAGATTTTAATCGGGAAAATTTAATAGACGATAGAACTTGCAAAAATAAAACAAAAAGTTCATATCAACTTCTAACATTTAAAGCTTCCTTTTCGAGATACAGGGTGTTAAAGTTACTTAAAAAAGAAAAAAAAATAATATATTTGAAAAACTATTTAATCGATTTTGATATAACTTGACCCGTTTATAATACTTACGATGGGACTTAATTTGATGTAATTAGATTTAAGTTTAATGGCCAGGGGCAGCGGTGGGGCATCACTGTTAAATTATTTTAAAGGAAAAAATAGGCACGCCACTGCTTTTTTAGAAGTTTAATATTATTTTTGGATTTAGTAATTAAAAATATTATTTTTTTGTCTTCTGACTTTTTTGTCTATCTTGCTTACTTCTTGCGAAAAAAAATAAATTCTAATTGGTAATTAATATTATAATTGGTATTCTAATGGTACCCTGTATCTCGAAAAGGAAGCTTCAAATCTTACAAGTTGATATGAACTTTTTGTTTTATTTTTGCAAGTTCTATCGTCTATTAAATTTTCCCGATTAAAATCTGAGACACCCTGTATAATAAAATTATATAAGGATTCTTGCCACTTAACTGCTGATATAGAAATTTAATTCTACGCTGTGTTTGTCATAATGTGGATCAATCTGCTCTCACTACCGGTTTCGGAGCCCTACTCCATCATCAGGTGAGCTTGGGCAGATCCACAAAATGACAACCACAGCGCAGACATAGTTAATTCCGACTTGTCGGAAAGTGTCGGTTAGATATTAAGTCCCGAACGGGAGATAGCTGCCTGCGTGTAATGGTAGTACTTTCGTACCACCGAGGCGAAACTATCGATAGTAAAAAGATGGTAAAAGGCTTTTTTTTCAGGCAAGCCAAATTATAAAATAGAAAACAAATTTCTTGCAGTATTGGTATATAATAAAATTATATAAGGATTAAATTTCTATATCAGCAGTTAAGTGGCAAGAATCCTTATATAATTTTATTAAATACCTATACTGCAAGAAATTTGTTTTCTATTTTATAATTTGGCTTGCCTGAAAAAAAAGCCTTTTACCATCTTTTTACTATCGATAGTTTCGCCTCGGTGGTACGAAAGTACTACCATTACACGCAGGCAGCTATCTCCCGTTCGGGACTTAATAGGGAGTTTTCGTTGCTTTAAAAAAAATCAACGGTACGGTTAACGGATACGTAACCATAACCGCTATTTTGACAGATAAAAAAACAGTTTTCGGACTTTCGGTTCATCGGTTCGGAGCCGACATACGATACGATAACCGAAAACTGACAGCTAAGCACAGCCCGTAGCGTAGTATTTTGATTTTTGGTTTTTGTATTGTTGTTTGATTTGAAAGTTCTTTATATGACTTTATTGGGTATCGCTATATAGGATGGACAATTTAATTTTATTGGACTCTAGTGATGAATCGGATTTGGAGGATGCTGTGCTGTTGGAAGGGTTTGAAAACAACATCGAATATCGAGCAGAACTTTATGGGGAGTTCAACCTAAAAATATTATCTGACCAAGAGTGCAAAGCTAACTTCTGCTTTGAAAAAAAAGACATTCCTCGATTAGTTGAAGCACTAAGAATTCCCAACGAGTTTAACACAGATAAAATAAATAATCAAAACATAAACAAAATAGAATGATGTTAGGTTAGATCTGTATCTTTCAATGTTGTGTTTCTACTGCGCTAGTGCGCATGCGTACCGCTATGTTAACGGCTTTGGCTAACGTC